TTAGTATGTGGTTGGTAAGGTGTCAGTAAGAGGATGGTATGCTGTTAGTATGTGGTTGGTAAGGTGTCAGTAAGAGGATGGTATGCTGTTAGTATATGGTTGGTAAGGTGTCAGTGAGAGGATGGTATGCTGAACCTCTTTTCAGCTACAAATTTGTGGTGCAGATTTTTCATAAGTGCTAAWTATAATTTTCTAACATCTTATTGTTTTTAGATGAACCWGGAACACTTAGGAGATTTGTTCAGAAGCTCCTATATTCAGTGATCATATTCTTACCTTTACTCGGTGGTGGGTGTAGGTGTGATAGAGAGACATGGAAATACCTCCATCAAACAGGATTTAGAGAAGTTTCATTCCAGAGATGCCAAGAGGATTTBTTCTTCTTCTGGAGTGCCCCAGTTTTGTCAGTTCTTCGCTATATGTCACGCTCCAAGATAGTTGGTTTTGCTATGAAATGAAAAAAAAAATCATGACATACATTTATTTATTTTATTTTGTTTGAGCGAGCGATATTTTCTCGTTTACGGCAAACGTGAAATCAGTTGACCATTAAAAAATTCTTGAAAAGGAATCGCAAAAATCTCCAAATGGTAGATAAACAAAAGAATACTTGTCTTTGTCGAGAAGGTTTGCATTTGGTAAAGTGAAATGTAGAGAAACGATGAAAGCGTGGTCACGTTTGCCGTTTACGGGAAGAAAAAAACGGGAATCTTAATCTGCCTAGTATCTGCCTGTTGTCGCGGTTCGGGATCCTGGGACCGCTGAAAAGAAATAATGAARAGAAATAAGTTATTCACCGTCCTAAAGTCGGTCCGGATAGAGAAAAACTGTGCCCTCTGTCTTGCGTAAATAACATATATATCTTACCTAAAGTATCTCAAACATTTAAGAAAAAGTGAACTGATAGAGTTTATAGATATATGTCAATTTTTAATTTAAAAAAAAAAAACACATTTAGTTCCAATTATACATTTTGTGAAGTCTGACGTGTCAATGGYTTTAATTTCTAGAAAAGTTTGTTTTCTCATTCACGTTAATTCTTTTTATTCGGATATATTTGTAAAAGTGTAACTCGAAAAAGTTTTTTAATGTTGACTTTTAGGATCGAGTCACGGAATTAACACGTAACTCGAAAATAAAGTTTCGAGTTATGTAACTCGATTTTGATCTCAACGATGTTTGTCATCGAGTTGCGAACAATGTCAAAGTGGGATGGCCTTAAAAATATGGGTGTGATCGAGCGAGTAGTATAGGAAATCGCATGGTTTCGAGTGCACTTTGGAATAAATTTGAATGTTGAAATTAATGTTATACAAAAGTGCAATGTTGAATTTTGTCCAGGCACGGAAAGCTATTAACAAATGTTGAATCGTGGAACTCGAATGTTGGACGAGATTACAGCTAAGTTGAAACCGAAATCTTCAATGTCGGAAAAGCAACTAACAATATTGCATTGCAAGTGAAACACTGAATTCTTTATTAGAATGTTGAAAACCTGATGTTGAATAAGCCTTTTCATAGTTTAAGAATCGATTCCACTGCGCATGCGATTTTATCCCGAATTTCTCACCTTCATTTGTCTAAACCTCCTTTTGTTCTTAATTAAACAAAAGAAGGTGAGAAATTCGGGATAAAAACGCATGCGCTGTGGAATCGATTCTTAATCTATGAAAAGGCTTATTTTGTCGGGAATATAACGCCATAAGTAACTAGTGTTTCACGGATTAATTGTTTGCACTCAAGGGATATTCTTTGTTTAAGGTGTTAGGTGGTCAATAATTGCACACGACGAGGCCTTAGGGTAAAAGCATATGAATAAAGTAAATGAAAGCATAATTTGTGTATTGCGCTGAATATATGAAGTGCTACATTTTCGTGTGTTCAGGCATCAGTGTACCCCTAGCGACCGTTAAGCATTCAACCGCTTCATAGCGCGAAACTTCAATAAAGTACGTATATCAAAACCTCAACAAAGTATACATTTTTTGAAAGCTAAATAAATGTCAAAACTATTCCTTTTTTCTTTTTGTGAAATAGATTTATTGTTTCGTTATGCGCGAAAACCATGATAGAATTTAGTAATAGATTCCTTTTTGCACGCACGCACGAGTAGCTTGCCTCGGATTAAGTTGCATTAGTATATAAGTAAGTGACGCTAGTTTAAATTCAGTTCGTCGAGTTTCAGAGCAAGCTACCGGGTAAGTCAGATCGCTTCAACTTTGAATATATTTTTCTAGATATGGGTAACGCTTTATTTTTGCTCCGCTTCTTTTAGATTTCGAACAACTCGCATATCCAACTAGCAACTAGCAACTAGCTTCTAGCTTCTAGCTTCTAGCTTCATGTACGAAAGAAGAGAATGAAGTTCTGAAACCGTAGCTTGTCATATTTCGTTTATTGACGAAACATTTCTCCTTTTAAGTTAGCGAATTATTCATATTTTCACCTAAGGCAGCCGGTAATAATAGAAAACCTATGCTTATTACCTTTTCAAGATAACAAAATATCACTTGTCAAAAACGTGTCTCGATTTTCGAGGTAATTTCACATATTTTTACATTTTTGTAATGGTAAAACGTAAGGCCGTTTTCTTTTGGTTAGGCGCTTCGGGGGCGCCAGCGAAATGGCCACCCCTTCCGAAGATTCTTGCTACGCCCCTGAATTGTTTACACGTTCGAGTGCTGCAATTACTACACAATTCTTTCGCATCACTAGCCACTTCTCTGTAGCTCTTTCTTTTCTTGTCACTCGGTTGAGCATCTGATCATCTGATCATAATCAGATGTCTTGTCTCACTAGCATTTTTTTACTTTCAAGCTCATTTGCATGTAGAGTACGAACACTATAAGTGTATAACATAAATACCACTAAACACTGCTAAATTATGCTAATCCTATTGTTTTCTATTGTTTAATTAGCGCTATTTACTACTAAATACTGCAAAGCGTTGCACACTTTTAGTGTTTGTACTCTAGAACGTCGGATATGTAAAATAGTTCTATTAAGATCAAACTTTRAATAATGCAGCATTGTACTTATCCCCATTCATCAACAAAAATTGTTTTCTAAAGCCTAGGCAAACAGTTGCAGGAAAGACGAAGTCSAGTATACATCGCTAATAAAACTTTTCTTCAACAAGTTCCTAACAGCATCAAAGTAAGTGTATACTAGCTACCTAACAAGACCAACAATAGAAGTAGTTGTTTAATCATACGTTTTAAACATTATAATAGAAATATCCTCAATTGTAATTTTATCGTAAAAGTTCCGCAAAATTCGAGTATTACTTTCACTTTTTATTTAACTATTCTAATAAACGGAAAAGCTACCTTTGCTAAACCCCTCCCTCCTTTCTTCAACTATAGTCGTGGGTTTATCTTTTATTACTTCAAGCCAAAAAAATTGAACCCGTCATTTTCCCCCCTGACTTAACTCGTTAAGGTGGCTGACCACTTTTGAATGTTTGATTTGAGCCAAGGATGTGCCCGCGCTCAAAAACCGTTGAATAATCTTCACAATTTTATTGAAGAAACATACACGTTTTGACATTCAAGAGTGCAAAACCCTCAAATTTAGACTTTCTCTCTCTACTTTTTTGTTATTTTACGGAATAACAGGTAATATCCCATTATTTTTCAAAGTTTAAGACAACTCAAATGCAAAAAATCTTTCTGTTTTGTTTTTGGCTCAATTTTTA